ATCTCTCCCTCCCCTCCGGCTCTAGCGGCTCAAGGAGGGTGGGGCTCCGCTAGAGAGCCTTAAGCGACCCCCCTCCCGCCCCGGAGCCTCGCCCGTCCCTTTGCTGGCCTCGCCTGGGCAGAGCCGGGCTGGGCTGGGCTGGGCGAGCTGGTGACATCACCCTGAACGCCCACCCACCCACCCAGCCCCCCCGCCCCCCACCCCACCCCGCCTGTGTGCCCAGCGCTGCCCGCTGCCGCTGCCGCCAGCCTCCCTCCCTCCTTCCCTCCTTCCTCCGCCTCCAGCAGCAGCGTGCCGGGACGCTCGGCGCGGCAGGGCCGGGCTGGCGACCGGCTCTCCGGGCTCCTGTCGGCAGCAGCAGCAGCCTCCGCCGCCTCCGCCGTCCCCGCAGCCTCCTCTTTCCTCGGGCGCCGCCCGCATGAGCCTCCGCAAAGGCGACAAGCCGCCCATCAGCATCCAGGAGCACATGGCCATCGACGTCTCGCCCGGTCCCATCCGCCCCATCAAGCAGATCTCCGACTACTTCCCGCGCTTCCCCCGAGGCCTCCCCGCCGCCGCCTTGCTCAGCCGGAGCCAGAGCCAACAGCAGCCGCCGTCGCAGCAGCAGCAGCCGCCGCCGCCGCGCCGCCGCCTCTCGTCCACCTCGGCCTGCCCGACCAGCCCCAGCCCGTCCGGGACGCCCCCTCCCCGGGACGACGATGAAGACCTGGACCAACTCTTCGGCGCTTACGGCACCGGCCAGGCTGGCCAAACGGCTCCGACCGAGCAACGGCCCCAGCAGCAGCAGCAGCTTCAGCTGCAGGACCCCACGACCCATCATCCGCCGCCCGCGACGGCCCGCCCGGAGGAGGAGGAAGAGGAGGCGGCCGACGGCTACGAATCCGACGACTGCAGTAAGTTGGGCTGGCTTGGCGGGTGGGGTGGCGGGTAGAATCCAAAAAGGTCAGGTAACAGGTCGTCAGAGTTGGAAGGGACCCGGGAGGTCATCTAGTCCAACCCACACGCGGGCCAAGCGGGTCGGGCGCCTGGGAGAGGTGCCGTTGTCGTCGGAGGTGGGACGGGGGTGTCCGCAGGCGCGCCCGGAGCCTGGGAAGGAAGGAAGGGAGGGAGGAAAGAAGGAAGGAAGGAAAGAAGAAAGGAAGGAAGGAAGGAAAGAAGAAAGGAAGGAAGGAAGGAAGGAAGGAAGGAAGGAAGGAAGGAAAAAAGAAAGGAAGGGAGGGAGGGAGGAAGGAAGGAAGGAAGGAAAGAAGAAAGAAGGAAGGAAGGAAGGAAAGAAGAAAGGAAGGAAGGGAGGGAGGGAGGAAAGAAGGAAGGAAGGAAGGAAGGAAGGAAAGAAGAAAGAAGAAAGAAGGAAGGAAGGAATGAAGGAAAGAAGAAAGAAGGAAGGAAGGAAGGAAGGAAGGGAGGAAAGAAGAAAGGAAGGAAGGGAGGGAGGAAGGAAGGAGCTGTGGGGGGGATGCCAGGAGGAAACCTGGATGGTGAGTCGGGGAGGGTCGGGGGGGGGAGGAAAGGTGTGTGCGTTGACCCGTGTGTCCGCGAGTGTGAAAGCACATCTGTGCAAGAACGATGGGTGATTTTTTCCAGGGGAGGTTTCCCCCCCACTCCCCCCAAGAAGAGACCGGACAGCCATTTTGTCCCGGGACTGGTAGAAGGTCTTCCTGCTTGAGTAGGGGGGTTGGACTAGAGAACCTCCAGGGTCCCTTCCAACTCTGTTATTCTGAAATCCATAGTCAGAATAAGGAAGAATTTGCTGGCAGTGAGAATAATGCTACGGCTTATCTCCAGAAATGATGGGTGCTCCCATCCCTGGAGGTTTTGAAAAAAAGAGACTGAACACCTGTTTGTCCGGATTGGTATAAGATCACCTGCTTGAGCAGCAGGTTGGACTAGATGACCTCCAAGGCCCCTTCCGACTCTTGTTATTTTGCTTTCCCTTAAAGCCCTTCTGCTTCATGGCTGGGTGCAAGGATAAGACCCCCCCTTGGTAGAAAACCTGGGGGAGAAACCCCCCCCCACCAACCTCTTCAAAGCCGCCGGGATGATGGTTAGTGGCACCACAGCCAGCCAGATGTTAGCCGGGATTTGGCATCTGTGCACCGCCCCCCCCCCCCCCCCCCCCCCAGTCCTTCCCAAAGACTGAGAGCACCAGATGCAGTTTAATAATATTATCGGGATGGTTGCAGGATGTCGGCTGCTCCAAATCAAGTTGCCACCTGCAATTGACTGATAGGAGATTTGGTCAATGCCAGCGGTGTTCAAGGGATGCTCCTAATGTTTTGGCGTTGTTGCCATCTTTCTCCCTCCTCCAAATCTCTGGAGTGGCCTCCTTGTCTGGCACCCATCAGTGTTCTTGGGGTCTCACACACAAGCCAAAGGTGCTTTACCTCTTAGGAATGGTTTTCTTGTTGTTATTATTATTAATAATGATTATTAATAATAACGGTATGATCATGAATACTGTTAGAATAGATGATAAACAAGGTAATTCTTCTAATACTCTAATTAACAGTATGAATAATATCCCTTTTCCTTCTTGTCATCTTCTTTCCTACCCTCTCTGTTTGGCTTTCACGACGGCGCTGGGGATAAAATTTGCCGCTTTGCGCCGTACACTTCTCCAATTTCCTCGTGGGTCTAAAGCAACACTTGGCCAAATAAACTCTTCAAGAAGAGACTGAACTGCCATTTGTCAGAAATGGTGTAGGGTCTCCTGCTTGGGCAGTGGGGGCGGGGGTGGGGGTTGGACTAGATGACCTACAAGGTCCTTTCCGACTCTGATTATCTCTTCATCTGTTCTCATTCTGAGCCTTTGAAAAGAAAAGAAAAATCCCTTCCAGGTTTCTCAAATACCTCCGAACTCTTGGAGTGGGCATCCCTCCCCAGTTGTTATTCGCTCTCCCCTCCTCAATTCTCCCCTCCCCTCCTCAATTCTCCCAGCCCCCCCCCCCCCCCCCCCCCCCCCTCATATCGTCTCCTCTATGTCCTTGCAAACACGAGAAAGACCACCTTGGGCAGGCTAAGGCTGGCAAAACACTGCAGCAAGCTGTCACTGCAGCAGGGGAAACCCCCCCCCCCCCCACCCCCCCCCCCCCCCCGCCCCCCCCCCTTTTCTCGCCCCGGGGAGCACGAGCCCCCCCCCCCCCACCAAACCCCCCCCCCCCCCCCCCCCCCCCCTTTTAAGGCCTGGGATTTTGCTTGGAAAACCTCCAGTTTTCTTTGCAAAATCAACAATGCACAATGCCCCGCAGGTATGTGTGGGTGGGTGGGTGCACCCAGAGCTGGGAACAGGAGGAGGGGAGATAAAAGGGACGAGGGTGCAAACGTGCAAGAGTGCCGCTGGTGAGGATGATGGGATGGGTGGTCCTCTGAACCAGTGAGGATCCATGCCAGGTTTTGGGGAGTTTGTGTTCCTTAGTGGCGGAGATCAGGAAAACAGGTGTGCAAGCTAACCTGTGCAGAGCATCGGGGTGTGAGGTGTGTGGGGTGTTTAAAGCAAGGAGGTCTCAACACCCAAGAGGTTGGAGAGGGGGGGGTCTCTTAAGACCCCCCCAACCCTGGACAATCCCATGCGCAGAGATTCTGGCAAAGCAGAGCAAATCGGGCTGAATTTTTTATTTTTTTAATGAAACACCGGGATGGACACAGACGCTAAGTATTGAGGGGGAAAAAACGAAACCACGAAATTTAACATTTTTTGGTTTCTTCCTTGTTTTGATCCTGTCGGCTAAGAATGTCGGCAACCCTAGATACGAAGGGAGTCTGGCAGGAAGGAACCTGGATTGGGAAAGGGAGAAAGGAGGAAGAAGGTGTTTTTTTTTTTGAAGAAAAGAAAAAGGGGACTATTTGGAGTTTGGAGAGAAAGGGATCTGGACTTTTTAAGACAGCCACTTTGATATAATGGTTACGGTTTGGATAGATGGACTGAAGAAGATGGAATGGAATGGAATGGAATGGAATGGAAT